TATTTTTCTTTTTCTACAAGTTTGAGGTTCAGCATTAGGTTGTTTATTTGAGTTCACTGTTTTCCTGATGTGAGTTCACTGCTATAAGTTTTCCTTGTAAGATTGCTCTTACCGCATCCCATAACTTTCAGTATATTGTTTTAGCATTATGATTTAATTGTAGAAACTGTCCAATTTCTTCTTTAATTTCATCTGGGACCCACTGGTTGTTCAGAAGAGTGTTATTTAATTTCCATGTATTTATGTAGTTTTTGTAGTTTCTTTGCCATTGATTTCTAGTTTCTTTTCACTATGGTCTGATAATATGCATGGGATAATTTCAGTTCCTTTGCATTTACTTAGGCATGTTCTGTGAGCTAGTATGTGGTCTACTTTGGAGAATGTTTCATGCTCAGCTGAGAAGAATGTGTATTCTGATGTTGTGGGGTGGAACACTCTGTAGACATCTACTAAGTCCACTTGTTCACAGGTTGGTTCAATTCTGATATTTCTTTGTTGATTTTTTTGTCTAGTTTTGATCTACTTGTGACAGTGGGGTATAGAGAGCCCCCATTACAATTGTGTTAGTGCTTATTTGATTTTTCATGTCTGTTAATATTTGTTTTATATAGTTGGGTGTGCTGGTATTTGGTGCATATATATTCATGATTGTTATCTCTTCTTGGAGTTTCTTCTTAATAAGTATGTAGTGACCTTCTTTGTTTCTTTTGATCAGTCTTGGCTTGAAGTTCATTTTGTCTGCAAATAGAATAGCTACCCTTCATTTTTTACAGGTTCCTGTGACATTAAATATTGTATTCCATCCTTTGACTTTCAGTCTATGAATTTCTTTTTGAGTTGCAATCTCAATCAAAATATTAATAGCATACCTCACAGAACTAGAACTAAACTAAAACTAACTAAACTAAAATATTCTTAAAATTCATTTGGAACCAGAGGAAACCTAGAATAGCAAAAACAATTCTGAGCAACAAAGGTTAAGGCAGAGGGCATCACAATCCTTGACTTGAAATTATACTACAGAGCTACTGTAATAAAAACAGTATAGTACTGGCAAAAAACCCAAACAGACCTGAGGATCATTGGAACAGATTAGAAGATGCAGAAACAACTTCAAATGCACTCAGCCACCTTATGTTTGAGAAAGGGACCAAATACTTTCACTCTTTAATAAATGATGCTGAAAAAATCAGCTATCTACATGCCAAAGACGAAAACTAGGTCCATGTTTCTCACTGCACTAAACTAAAATCAAAATGGATCAAAGATCTAAATATCAAGACAAAAACACTAAATCTGTTGGAAGACAGAATAGGTAGAACTCTCGAAGAATTAAGTGTAGGCAAAGACTTTATGAACAAAACCCTAATCACCCAGGAAATATCATAAAGAATCAACAACTGAGATCTCATCTTATTAAAAAGCTTTTGTACATCAAAAGAAATCACCAACAGAGTGAAGAGACAACCAAAAGAGTGGAAAAATTTTTTTGCTAGCTGTCCCTCAGACAAAAGGCTAATATCTAGAATATATAAAGAACTGAAAAAAAAAATCAAATCCCCCAAATGTAAAGATCCAAACCAAAAACGGGCATCTGAAATGAATACATACTTCTCAGATGAAGAAGTACAAATGGCAAGTAAATATATGTTCAGTATCACTGGTCATTAGATGCAAATGAATACAGAACTGAGGTTCCATCTCACTCCAGATAGAAAGGCTATTATCAAGAAATTAACCAGTAACAGATGCTATTGGGCCTGTGGTGAAAAAGGAATCCTACTCCACTGTTGGTGGGAGTGTAGACTGGTTCAACCACTGTAGAAATCAGTGTGGAGAGTCTTCAAAAAACTAGGACTAGTGGCTCCATTTGACCCAGCTAACCCCCCACTTCTTGGTATTTTCTCAAAAGAATTAAGTGTCATACCACAGTGATGTACACACCTGTTTAGAGCAGCACAGTTTGCAGTAGCTAAATCTCGAAAACAGCCCAAAAGCCCATCAACCAATGAATGGATAAAAGCACTGTGTTTTTTTAAAAAAACACAATGGCATACTACTCAGCCATAATGAAGGATAAAATTGAGACATTTATAGGTAAAGGATGTACCTTGAGAGCATACTCCGAAGTGAAATAAGTGTGACACACGTGTAAATACTGTATTATTTCTCTGGTGTGAGAAACTGAAAATGTAAATAAAGACCAAAAGGTGTAACCAACATTGTGCAATAGGAAGAAAATGTTCAAATGGGAAGGGGCACTAGGGAGGAGGAAGAGAGAAAGGAAGGAAGGGAAAAGAAACAACAGAAAAGAAAGATGAAAAGCTCTTGTAAATAAGGAGGGGCAGAGAGGTTGAAGGGAAAGGAAAAGAGTGGAAAAAAAATAAGAATTAAGATGTAATACGTACAGGAACAAATTCCATATGATGAAAATGATCATTATGTATATGTAAATTGTACCAATAAACATAAATAATAAAAAAAAGAAAAAGAAAAAAGTTCAGCCTGGTAGAAATCATCAAGGCAGGAGCATGCAGTGGAAGAAGCTTACTCACCTTATGGCCGGCTGGGCCTGAGAGAGACAGGAAGGGTTTGGGGTCCACCAAATGCCTTTTTAGTTCAAGCTCCCAGGACCCAGTTTCCTTCCACTGGGCCGCACCTCCTATAGGTTCCACCCCTCCGGCAGTGTCAAGCTGAGGATCAAGCAGTTGACCCCTGGGCCTCTAGGAAACTGCAGATCCAAATCACAGCAACATGGAGCTGTCATCGGCACAGGGCCAGAAGCAAACCCAGCAGCTATCAGCGAGGCAGGGGCCTGGGCATTTGGCCTGAACAGCGAGCAGAGAGCAGACTCCTCATGCTGACATTCTGCTTCAGTAAAACAGAAGTACACAGGAGCCTTTGGGTCATGGTCAGTGGTTAAGCTGGCCATGTGTGTCTTCAGCTTCTCACCCCTACCCTCTTTTTATTTTCCTGGCTCCCTCACTTCACTAGGAGTCTTCCCATTTCCACCATCTTTCCTGCCCCCTCCCTCCTAAGCCTAAATTCCAGAAAGTCCTGAGAGAATTATGCTGGATTATAGGTGAGATTCAGAGTATCCCCATCCAGATGTATCTTTGCTTTAATGGAGACAAAACTGAAAAATGGATCTTCAGTAACAGAAGATGAGGAAATACAGCATAAAGGAGGAACTTTGGGGCCAGGGGTCCTCCTTGTGCCTGTCTTCTGGTCAGTTAAGGCTGGCAGTCTTCTTGTACTGTACCCAAAGCTGCCACCACAGATGCAGCAACACATCAACACATTCCTTACACCCTTGAGATTAAAAATTTAAAAACTGAAAATACCAGAAATCTTTCTTCATTTAAAGGTAATAGTCCCGATTATCAGGACCTTCCTAGGTGCAAGGCACCTGACTACACACTTTACATATATTGCTCTTCATAGTAACTGGTCAATAGTTCCTGGGTCGCCCCATTTTAAAGATGAGCACAGGGAGGGACTGAGACGTGAAGTCACTTGCCCCAGGTGTACCGAAAGTGAGTGGCAAGGTGGGGCTTGACCTATAGCCTATACCTGTCACTACTGTGCTACACAACACCACAGATGCTCCAGAGTCATTCTAATGGAATCTAATTTTAATGAAAGATGGTGCCATGGTTCGGATGTGGTTTGCCCACATCAAAGGGCTAGTGTGTTGGAGGCCTGGTCATCAGTGTGGTGGGTGAGAGGCACTGACTCAGTGGGAGGTCATTAAATATTGAAGGTACTGTTCTTGGAAGGGATTAAATTAGCTCTCTGGGGGCCCTGAGTTAATTCTTTTCAGTCTTTTTTTTTTGGTACCAGGGATTGAACTCCGGACACTGCACTTGAGAGACAGGCAGGGGAACCATTGAGCTAAACCCCAGCCCTACCCTGAGTTAGTTCTAATGAAAGCGAGTTGTTTGTGAGAGGGATCCTGACCTATGCATCTCTCTTATCTTCCTTTCTGGCATGTGCTTCTATCACTGTGAGGCCATTCTCTATGAACCTTCAGAACTGTGATCTGAATAATACTTTTTTCTTCAGAAAGTTAGCTTGCTCCAGGTATTTTGTTATAGTAAAAAGAAACAAACCAATATGGGAAGGTGTATCGAAAACTTTGTTATTTTGGTTAGTTAAACTAGAAAACAAGTGGATTTTACTTTTGCCTGGTATAAAGTGCCTGCTAAAAATTATGGAACTTCTCCTTGCCATTATGCAGTGACATAATAAAGAGTTAAGCATATTTTTTAAGGGAGAAAGTAACTGTGGTCCAGAGGCATTTGTGAACAGGACCACGGTAGATGGTCTAGTGGGGGACATGGGTGTTCACAATGGAGAAGCCGCTCCTGGACAGGCACACGTGTGCTGCTTGCCTCAATTTCCCATTTCAGTGGTGTCGCTCGGGAGTGGGGGGTCCACCCTGGGTGGCACATTTTTGGGTGCTATTTAAGCATGTTAACATATTCAGATACGTTGGTGGGCAGCAAAGTGAAGGACTGCCCCAAGTGGCACAAAGTCCAGCTGTGCCGCTGCACTGTTGGGCCTCTAGTCATCAGGTTTAAATGGCCACAGGGACACAAGCTCCAGAGGACATGTGCTCCCTGGCTGTTGAACACTGATCAGTGAAATCAAACCCAAGCCCTCTGCTTTTGGGCTTACACTTCTTTATGCCTATCCAAACCCTGCCCATCTTTCACATCACAACCCAGGTCCACAGGAGCATGGATCCTCCCAAGCCCATGACGACCTCTGCTCCCCGTCCCAGGAGCCCCGGGAGCAAGGATGCTCAGCACACTGGAGACGACCTGTTCTCCACTGCCTGATATGGGTGACGAAGCAGCTGGGCTCAGCCCTGTCCGCTCATTTGTGTCATACAGCTCAGGTGCTGTGTGTTCTTCTGAAAGCCCTCACAGCACCTTTCATGTTTTTATAAAACAGACCACATCAGAGAGTAAAGGCAAAAACAAAAACCAAAGTACCATTCAATAGTTTCCAGTGTGTCTTCTTCTGGTAAGGCGTCCAGTGGAGCAGGGATGTCCACAGGAAGCATGACTGGGTTATAGGAGTCACAGCTGTGGAAAAATCATACAGTAGCCAGAGTCACAAGAGCAGTCTTTCCAGAGCATTTCACTTTACCACAGGTCAGGCCTCTACCTTTCTGCACGCCCTCACTCCTGAATACCCCATGTTTCTGCAAAAGGCAAAGGCGGGGATGGGAGAGGCCCCATGTGAACCCCAGAGAATGCTGCTGAGTGTGAAAGCAGAATCAGAGAAGGGCTGGGGATGTGGTTCCGTGGCAGAGCACTTGCCCAACACTTGTCCATCCTCTGCACTGGAAAAAAATTAGTATCCAAGTATCTAAAATTATGTTATTTCCTAGGGTGGGAGAAAGGTAGTCAGGTAATCTACTTCTTGTCCTTAGCATTTTTCCCAGCTTTATACTCTTTCTTAGTTATTCTATCCAATTTCAAAGTCCCCCTCTTAGAGATTGTTTGGTATTAGAATTTTAGGGCTTCATATAAAAGTTTCTGAGTATTAATCAGTGGCATTAAAATTATTACGATAGGGAGAAGAAAAATGTGTCTTTATTTTATTTTATTATTTATTTGGTACTGGGGAATGAACTCAGGACCTTGCACTTTGCGAGGCAGATGGCAGAACCACTGAGCTAAATCCCCAACCCATGTCATTATTTTAAAAGCTGGCAGCACATTTGTTTCAAAATGGTAGAAACAGGAGATAGAGAGGAGAAATTCCTGAAGAGGAAGCTGATTCTCCAAAAGGTGGAGGAGTGCTCAGTTCTAATAGCTGGACCACAGCTGATCAAGACAAGAGGACACATGAGCCATAGGCTTCTGGGGGCCAAGATGTGCCCACCTCCTAACTAAACCATGCCTGGGGGTGCATGTGCTAGAGCTTAAACAACTGAAAGAGATCCCAACTCAGTTAGAATAAATTATAACCCCATTTACATTGTTGTTTTGGCTTCCCCCTCCTGCATGGGCTTTGAGTACCATGACAGTTCCTCAAAGGAAGGACTACCCACTCCCCCAACCCCCAGCAGGAAGAAGGAGACTTTTCCCTGCATGAATAGCCACTGGTTCAAAGGGCTACTTCCTCCTTGTAAAAATCACATTTTGGCTCTGGCACCTGGCTTCTTCTGGGTCATGAGCTCTTTTCACTGGCCTGGTCCCACCCTTAGGATTGTATCTTTGCTAATAAATATATGCTTTCATTTATACTGTGTGTCTTGCTCAATCCTGTGTTTGGGACACCAGTATCCTATGGTAGTCACAACACTTGAAAACAATAGAATGAGAGCTTGCTGTTTCTGGTCTCAATTCCTTCTGTATAAAGCTTTTTATATTAAGGGCATAAAAAACTATCATTATCAGCAAAGGGAGCAGGAGAAAGGACACAGTGGATAAAAATTTTCAATAATTCTGTGGAAGAAATTTCTAGAAGCTTGAAAGAGTTCTGTCTCGCAAGAGTGGAAGGGAAGTGACCTCCACTAAGCTGTGGGCTGAAGGGAAGGCGGAAGCAGGAACACAAGGAAGAGGCTGATGAAGTCTTCTTTGTCACAAAGGATTGTGAGATAAGACTCTTATCCTTGTTTTGTTCTTGGGAAAAAGTGTACTTGCTCCCCAAGCATGGAGATTGGCTGAAAAACCTATGGCACCATGGTTTTTTACACAGGGAGAAGAGAATGGAGGAGATATCTGGGAAGTGATATATAAACATTTCCAGGAGATATTGCTAAATGAAAAAAGGAAATTCAGAAGAGTATACATAGAATGTCAGTGTTTGTATAGAAACAAGACAAAAATGAGTACATTCTGCTTAGCATTACAGAGAGGGACGCAGGAAGGGTAAATCAGAAGGCCAAGTTGGTTCTATTCCCTGGGAGGAATGGGGTCAAAGCGCAGTGGGAGGGAGGGACATTCCCTGAGTATGGCTTTTTGCATAGCTTTGAATTTGGAAATCATGTTTTGTTCTACATTTTTTTTTTTTTTGCGACAGCATCTCACTATGTAGTCCAGGCTAGCCTTGAACTTGTGATCCTTTTGTCTCAGCCTCCAAGTGCTGAGATTACGGGCCTGTGCCACCATGCTCAGCCAGATGTTCTACATACTGAAAAAGTAAATCAAAAAGAGAAATTCAAGAAAACTGAAACAATCCCACAATCATAACAGACAGAAAGAGGAAAAAAAAAAAGAGGGAGGAAAGAGGGGCAGGGAATAGGGGAGACAGAGAAAGGAAGGGAGGAAAAAAGAGCAAGAAATAACCTCAGTACTTAAGTATTTAACTATACCTACATAAACCATGGTCTTGGATGGAATAAAGATAGGGAGATAACGGCAAATAAATCTGAGCTCTCCTTAATGAGGCTTGTTTGTTAACTGTTTACATATGAGGCAATTCTGGAACTGTTTTCGATGTGTTATAAAATTGAGTAATTAAATGTGCCAGAGTTCTCACAGTGGGAAGGGAGATAAAAATACGGAATGGGGAAAAGCAAGCACTAACTCTGCTTGTGGACTGAAAGTCTAGGGTTTGGTATAAATTCATGACTTCATATGGATATGCATATGTGTTTACACGCAGATATAGGTACATATTATGCATGTGTCTTTGTATATTTGATAAGTGTATGTAAAGGTACCTCCCTGCTTTGTTTGCTCAGGAGGGCCAGATACAAAAACATGCAGTAGCAATGTGCACACTAGCACCCAGATTTTAGTCTGTAATCCCATTCCCCACCAAGAGGATGGAGGCCCCACCATGCAGAGGTTAGCTCTGTTTACAGAGCTCATAAGAAAAAATCTGGTTCTAATGGAACGTTCTCCCAAACACATGCAGAACACATGTAGTCGGAGGGGATTTGTGCTGAGAAGAGGGATGGAGAAGCGGGGAGCTGCACCAGTCTCCAGAGACTCACTGGTCTGAGAAGACGGGGTGGCAACAACATAGAGGGAGATGGACATGATAGCTGGATGTGTTTGTTTTGATTTACCTTAATATCCTTACTTGACAAAGCAAAACTCTGAGAACCTTAAATCAGTTCGCAAAATTCTTCTGAGTATTTTACTCATCTGTAATCTCAAATCTAGGAACTACTGGATCAGATCATTTCTTTGGTTGCTGCTCACTCTGATTTTATGGAAGACCACAGAGATTTAAGAAATTCTCCTAAAATTCCATAAAGAGGAAAGAACTCAAAGAGCTGCTTGGATCCTCATGAATACACACATGACTTGGAATAAATCAATGTTAAATAACCATACTGCATGGTTTGACAAAAAACAGCTATATCTCAAGGTCAAAAGCTATAAGAAAAACCTCAGAAGTTACAGGAGGCGATTTATTCAAACAAAATGGTTACAAACAAAGTTTAAAAGTAATGAATGGATTTGTATAGACTGAATGTCTATACAAATATACCCCCAATGTGACTGCATTTAAAGTGGAGCCTTTGGCAGGTGATTAGGGCCTTGAGGGTGGGGCCCTGATGAATGGGATTAGTGCCCTTACTAGGGAAGCCCTGGAGGGCTGCCTTGTTCCTTCCTTCTTGTGAGGACTCAGCAGAAAGATATCTCCTATGAATCAGCCTTCACCAGACACCAAATCTGCTAGTGCCTTGATCTTGAACTTCCCAGGCTTTCTTCCCAGAACTGTGAGAAATATATATTTCTATTGTTTATAACCTATCCATGCTATGGTATTTTGTTGGAGCAGCCTGAATGATTAGGACAAATTTAAGAGTGCGGTGTGGTGACACAGGCCTATAATCCCACTTCTCTGGGAAGCTGAGGCAGGAGAATTTCAAGTTGAGCCCAGTCCAGGCAATTTAGTAATTTAGTGATACCCAGTGGCATATGCCTGTAATCCTAGTACTCAGGAGGCTGAAGCAGGAGGATTGCTTCAACTTCAAGGCCAGCCTGGGCTACATAGGGAATTCAAGGCCGACCTGAACAATGTAGTATGTCCCTATCTAAAAAGGCAGGGGCGCTAAGGTCCTGGGTTCAATTTGAAATACCTGGGGTGGGGATAGGGGCAAAATTTAAAAAAGGAATCACCATTATTTCTTTGTAACTATTTTTAGAAGTCACAGCTGAGTGATAAGAAAATGTAGGAGACACTCTTGATTTCTGAGCCGTTATAGAACTGCAGTATAGTCAAAACAGAGTGGCCCAAGAGAGCATGTGAGCAAAGAAACAGAGAGTAACAAACCATGGCGGGAGAATTTTCTTTAATTTACGACAAATTCATTATGTTTAATTCATGGCTCTTTCGAGCCCAAGGTGAATGCATCTGACTGCCTGCTGAAAGAACAGCCTTGGTAGACCCCCCCAACCCCCCACCCCCGCCAAGGACATTTCTTTGGAAACAAAAATAGGTTGTTTTTTCCTAATTCTTGGGACCTGTGTAAGCTCACAGCAGGTAGACATGGGCAGTTTCCACTTTCCATCACTACCCACTGTGTTATTCAGTCTCCTGACAGCTCTCCAGATCCAATTATTGGCTATGTGGGTTGCTCCTAAATGGTCCTCTCAGCCCCAGCAAAATGACAACCCAGAAAGGTTGCGATGGTGCCATCTGGTGGCAACAGAGTGACTGCAAGGTTTGTCAGAAGGCTAAAGGCAGACGTCATCGAAGTGTGCAACCGGCAGCAAGCGGGGTGCTTCACGTGATTGCTTAATTTCGGTCCTTGCTACAGCCTGGTGAGGATCCTATCATCACCCCCATTTCACAGATAGAGAAATTACTGTTCAAAGGGCGCCAGTAAGAAGTGATTCACCTCACCACAGAGGCGGGTGACCTGCCAGGAACAGAGACGCAGGTCTCTAACGCCAAAGCCCACCTTTCTTCTACAATACCATTGTTTCCTCTGACTCTGGAGGTTTTAGATTTTAGTATTAGGCTAAAGTAAAGAACAAGTTGCTGAGTTTATTTTGAGATGGTAACAGGTGAGTGAAGTACATCCAGAAAGACACAAGCCTGTCTGAGCTCCTGTCGTGTTCCAAAGCTCAGCTGGGTGCTTTCTGTTTATCTCCTGTCAGCTCCAGGCAAGGGGGAGCAGCAGAGAAGGGGAACACCCCGGAAAGGACAGCAGGTGAATGAGCCTTGGGAAGTCGCACCTGCCTTAATCTAGGGGGAGCTGGCAGTGAACAAGGCAGGCAGAGGAAATGTCCCAGAGTCACAAACTGATCTCAAATAACTGGGGCGCAGCAGATGCGTGGGTAGTGGACATGGCAGACCTGAACCCTGGGTGTCTCCGTCTGCCTTCCATTGCTACAGACACAAAACTGGGAACACTGTCAGACGAGGGGTTTGTTTTGGCTCATGGCTTACCTGTGGGTGGTCTCTAACTTAGCAGGGTCAGGCAGGGCTGTGAGCGCCAGGGACTGGAACCTCTTCCAGTGCATGATTCCAGGAATAATGTCCTGTAGTGAAAATTGGTACAGGGTTATGATATGGTAAGGAGTTGCCTCGCGGGGTAAAGTCTAGGAAGGACTTTATTTCATTCAGATGGCTGTTTTTAAGTCACAAAGGTGAGTTCCAAAATGTATGATTTCATGAAGATTAATTCAATTTTCTGAAGTCAAAAGACAGTCGCTCCAGTGAGGGCACTAAACACTGTAACACAAAATGAGAGACAAACAAGAGATCCCCTAAATTAGCCCTACATTAGCCCCATGAGCAGCAAGCAGCAGTGATGGAGGGTGGATGAGGCCCCGAGATCTGTTCTGATGTCTGTGAACAAGGCGCCAAGGTTGTGTTTGAAGAGGACAGGGACTCATCAGGCGGCACCGCCACACGGGGACAGAGTGTGACGTGCACTGGTGACCCGATGGACTCTGCTCTCAGGAGACCATGCGTTCAGCCGAGTGAAGGGCATGCCACGGGGATGGAAGAGGCAGGCAGGTCACCGAAGGCCTCGTGGGTGAAGCCGATGAGCTTGGAGCCGCTCCTGCTGGCAACAGGGCTCCACTGGGGGAGTCTAAGCAGGAAACAGGACGGTCAGACTCCTGTCAAAGGACGATTTCCACGGAGGCCTGATCCGAGCAGTGTGAGCCTCGGGGGGAGACCAAGGGTAGACTGCCAGGCTGTGTAAGAGGCAGGCTGGTTAGATAAGGGGAATGAAGGAGTGGGAGGGACAGAGGGTCACACGCGTTCCGCGAACAATGTCAAGTCCTATGTACAATGTCACCCACAGCACAAAGAGGCAAGGGGGTGACGCAGGAAGGGGAAACATTTTAGGGCACGACTGGTGGAAACTGAGCATAGATAATGATCTGGGATGGAGAATGATTGAGTCTGAGGGGCCTGAGGGGAACCCTCAAGAGGGGCTCCTGGATCTTCAGGTCAGGGTGGTCACCTGGGGAGAGAGGGAATTCTCTGGAGCCAGTTCTCTCCTGTTCAGTGTCACATCGCCTTTTTGTCCATTCCGATGTTTCTACACTGACTGGGACCGAAGTAAAAGGGGGTCAGGCCATGGGACCCTGCTTACCATATGAATTTTGCCTGGTGGAAATATGAATGAATGAGTGTTAGGTGTTGCCTGTAAGGAAGAAACATCGAGGACACTGGAACAAGGGTAGCGTGGAGCCCAACAGTGGGTTCTGAGAGGACAGGCATGGGCCTGAGTGAGTCTCTGCCAGGATCCCAGAGGGCTGCTGGCAGGAGGGCTGCTCTTTGCAGCATTGGCCACAGCCTCTTTTTTTTCAGTCCCACCTGTGGCCCTCTGTCCTTGTCCCTTGCCTCTCCCTGTAGTGCGAGTCTAGCTCTGCCAGGGAGCTGGGTGGTGGCATTACCGTGTGATGGAGAAACTGCTTCTGGGTGAGAGGAATGCTGGACCCATGGTGCAACTCGTGGGTGAACTTGTACTTGGGGTGAGTGCACAGATGGTAATCTATCAACGTTTCTGTGTAGGTCAGAGGGTGCTTCACCGCAAACAAGCCCGGGTTGGGATTCTGAAGAAGAGAGGAGAAAAAGAATTTTCTGTTTACCAGTTTCCAAGCCAGTCCCAAGGACAAGCATCAGCTAACATCCTCTACGGCTCCCATTAGCACTGACACTCGTCTAGAGAAGAGGAGCCGGAGAGCACAGGTGCCCAGAGGTTGGCCACATTTTACATCGTCACAGTGCTTTACTGGTGTAAGGGGCCCATTGTACCCCATGAGAATTTACTAACCTCTCATGGAAACAAGTATAACTGAACATCACATCTTAAAGTACTTATAATTATGATGGATCACGGGAAAATATGAAATAAGCAAAGTGGTTTTCAAAAGCAATGAACTCCTGGTTCTGAGAAGAAAAATAGCTCCTTAGAAACTGCTTTAAAGAGAAGACAGAGAAGTGACATTTGGTATACCCGGAAATGCCAACATTTAACATTGTTTAGGTTATGTTTTTAATGCAGGAAGTTTCCGTTGGGAGGTAGTACCTGGTTTTAAGTGAGATTTTCTTTCTTTCTTTTTTTATTAAAAAAAAAACCCTAATTCTCCAGTGAAACTAATGGAGTCATAGAACATGATATCACAATACTAAAATCTAGAGCCCTTTAATATTCTTTCCAGAGCTTGTACAACAAATACCCTACTCTTGCCCCAAACAGCATAGCTTTCCCCTGACAGTTGTTTAATCTTAGATGTTTAAGAACCATTAGGTTGAGATTTTGTTCATTTTCTTTGTACGATATTTTTCTGACAATAAAAAAACTCCCACTTAATTCCACTTGATTTATGGAGATCTGATCTCACTGCCAAGAAGCAAAGGCCCCTCTCCTGACTTCCATTTAAAGAACGTATAGCTAGATTGCGAGGCATTCCAGCCCCCAGACGCACATCTGTGAGGGTCCAGATATCTTCTGCTGATGAGTCAACAATGCTGGAAAGACTGTGGGATGTCTGCTCAGAGAGGCTGAGCTGAAGGATGAGGGTCTTGGGGAAGATGCAGAAGGGACTCTCTTCTGAAGGCATGGAAATAAAGGAGGGGTGGGTCCACTGAGGATGTCTCCAAAGGTCACAGTAACACAAACAAGCCCACACTTTAGTGAGTCCCTGCAGTTGAAGCAAGAGTTGGGTGCATGTAAGAGGAGGTGGCGTGATGGGAATAGGGCTGACCATGCTCCTTTGGGGGAAGGACGGGGCAAAGGTGCATAACACCAGGGAAGAAACTGCCTGTGTGCCCTCAGGAGGGTCTCCTACTCTGGCTGACTGTGGACAGGAGGTGCTGTGTGGCCAGCTCTCTTGATCTTCCATGGGCCATATGCAACGAAGCAGTGCTTTTGCAGATGCCAATAACACTGTCTTCAATGGTTGTCATACTTCAGGAAACATCATTCCTGTGTTTTCTTGTACCTTTTCTTCTCTCTTTCATAATTTTACTTTTATATTATAAACACTCACATTCTGAAACCACACCAAACCCTTCATTCTTTGTTCACAGGTTGTCCTTAAAAGTTGAAAACTAATGAATAACATTTGTTTTGTTGTGAATGTATAAATGTTTCTCTGCAAGGCTAAGTGGAGGCCTGAATTACAATTTTGTGTGTGTGAAGGTTCCAGATCATCTTGGGAGCAAACTTTGGAGTTAAAGTACTTGCCTAGCCTAGCATGCATAAGGCCATGGGTTTCTTCTCCAGAGTGGCCTGAACCAAGCTGAACCAAAGCAAACCGAACCTAAACTTAATACTATGACTGTTGGATAAGAGTTCTATTTTCAAGGCTAAATGGGTTCAATTTTTAAATTTTCCATGAGCTCTGGAAAACATGAAATTTTAGTTTTTAATTTTGTTTCTGATTTGAAACACTTGTGGATTTCACTGATTTTTTTTTTTTTTTTTTTTAGAGTTTATAGTTCCCTTCCCTCCCTTCCCCTTTCCTCTTATCCTATCTTATCCCTTTCTCTCCCCCACCCCATTTCTTTCCACTAGGGATTGAATTTAAGGCTTAGTGCATGCTAGTCAAGTGCTCTACCACTGGGCTATGCCTTTGGGTTTTTAAAAATGTTTTTAAATTTTGAGACAGTGTCTTGCTAAGTTGCTTAGGCTGGCCTTGGACCTGCACTCCTCCTGCCTCTCATCCTCTGGAGTAGCTAAGATCACGGGTGTACACCACCACACCGGGCTATGATTGCCTTTTCTTTTACTTACGGAACTCTTGAGTGTATCCGCTCTCCCAACTGCACTATTGGTCTGTGGAATCCCACTTTCCTAGACAGTTGTCCTCCAGGGCCCTTTACCTCCCACTTTCAGGGTTCATGTACAAATGTTACCCAAGGGCTTCACAATAGTGCTTTATTGGCTGTCACCAGTATTCCTTTCATTTTCTCTTTGTCTCTTTTCTTAGGGTATACTAATAGTTTCCTTCACTGCTGTACTGCTGTAGAATTGCTGTACAACAAACTGCACACATCTGAAGTATACAGTTTGATATGTTTTGATATAAGTTACACCTGCAAACCATCACTGCCATAAAAATACTATAATAAACATTTCCATTACCCCCCAAGGTTATCGCAGGCCCGATGTCATCTTTCCTGTCCCTCCACTTCTGTCCACTGAACTCATCCTCAGGTAGACAGTGACCTACTCTCTGTTTCTATAGGTTATGTTGGATGTTTTAGACTTTTATGTGAGTGGAATAATACGATATGTGCTCTTCTGATTTCTCTTACTCAGCGCAAATTATTTTGAAAAGCATTCAAGTTGTTACATTATCAAGAGTTTCTTTTCTTTTCTCTGTACTGGGGAGTGAACTCAGGACCTCGCGCTTGTGAGGCAGGCGTGGTGCCACTGAGCTAAATCCCCAGCCCAAGCATTCCTTCTTTTTATCACAAAGCAACATTTTGTTGTATATTTATACTACAATTTGTTTATCCATAAACCTGCTAATGACCACCCCCCCAGCTTTTGGAACATTTAAAGCTTCTATGAATGTTCTTACATAAGTCTTACTAAATCTAGTGCAAGGGGAAACCAAACCACTCTTGGATCATAGCAACCCCCACACTCCAGGTCTGGCGTACCTGGACCATCTTGGGAGAGCATAGGGCTACCTGAGGGAAGGAGCCAGCAAGTTCTTCAATAGTGGCCTACTTGGTGGTACAGGATCACAATCACTCTAACTTCCTCACGGGAAGAGGACCACTGTGAGGAAGATATGGGAAAGCATCAGCTTTGGACAAACTGAAAGCCAGAGAACAGGTATAAGGGGCAACACTGGCGAGCACTTAGGAATTTGAAAACAACAGTGAGTAAGCAAGGCCGGAGAGTGGTCGGGACCCTGGGGAGAGAGAAGGCTCAACTGACCCAGAGATAATTAGTAACGCATTTCTCCCTTATACTGGGCTAGTGGGACATTCAGCGCACTACGCACACTTGTCAGTGTGTGCCCATGGGGGTGCCCTGGGCAAGAAGAAGGCATGGAGCTTAGGGACGGCACCAAGTTCATGAGAGCAAAGCTCTTTGGACAATGGATGGAAAAGGACTGAGTGAAGGGAGAGAGTAGCACATGGGTCAGTGGGCTTTCAGCATCTCACTAGGCAAAAGTAGAGGGAAGACAAGGAGGTGATTGCAACATTTGCTGTGCAGTGAAGGGAGCAGGAGTTAGAAATCCTAGCAGAAGTCGACAACCCAATGTAGGTCAAGCTACACCACGTCTGCCCTCCCCAAATTAACTGAAGTGGTCAGATCCTGGGACAAAGACAAAAGCCTACAGTTTAGCTAGGCCCAGAGCACTACTTGCAGCCAGGAGACTGGTCCAGAAAGACAGCGGATCAGCAGGTCTTCTTGCTCACAGCTGGCAATTAAGCAAATCATAGAGGTTGGGGAACAAAATAACTTCCAAAACTCCCAACTTCCCCAAAGCAGATCCAAGGGGCACTGAGGGGGAGGAGGAAAGCAGTTGCCATATGACTGAATTGCTTGAGATAATCAAAGACAAAACAAACTTGATGAGCTCAAAACTGATATAACTAAACAAATAGTGGACTTAACAAACTGATCAATGAACTTAAAGAAGATTCAAATAAAAAACTAGAAGAGCTAATCAAAACATTTTAGAACAAGCCTGTCAAATTCTAAAAGACAATAGCTTTCTGGGTTTTTGTAGCTTACGATTGTGTTGAATTTTTAGATTAATCTGGGGAGAATCAGTATTTTAATGATTTCAAATCTCCAAGCTTACAACGTGGCATAGTCTCCATTTATTTATGACTTCTTTGATTTCCTCCAGCAATGTTTCATAGTTTTCAGTGTATCTGTCTTATATTATATTTCTGACAAATGTATCCTGAACTGTTTTATATTTTGGTGTGATTTTTCAGCAACATGGCCTTTAAAATTTCAAGTTTACATTGTTTGTAAATAGAATATGGAAATAAAATTGATTTTTTTACATGGTGATCCCATTACATAACCTTGCTAAATTTACGTATTTGTTTTAGTAGACATTTTTGTAGAGTACAGTGTATTTTCTACATCATTAATAATTTTGCTTGTGAATGAAGACAGTTTTATACCTTTTTTCCAAATCTGGATGTCTTTTTTTTTTTCTTGCCTGTTCTACTGGCTAGAGCTATAATCTTGAATAGAATCAGGGTGGGCAGACACCTTTGTCCTGTTCCTAAGTTTAGGGGGAAGATATTCAATCATTTGTCATTCAGTTTGAAGTTAGCCTATATTTAAGAATGGATGTCCTTCATCATGTTGAGAAAGTTCCCTTCTATCCTTTATTTGGTGAGAGTGCTTATCTGGAATGGACGTTATATAATTTTTCTCTACTTACTGAGATGATCATATTGTTTTTCCATTTTGGTACGTTAATGTGTGAGTGACACTGAGTTTTAAATGTTGAACTCATCTTTTCCCTTGGCAAAAGCTTCCACTTGCTTATGATACATTATCCTTTATATAGTATTATAAAAATTTCTTAAAATTTTTCATGTATGTTACTTACAATCCTTCTGGAAAGTCTTTTACTGGCTTTGGTACCAGAGTCATACTGGCTTCTAGAATGAGTTGAGCAGAAGGCTATCTCCTTCCACTTTCTGGAGGAGTTGATGGGGACTTGGTATCCTTTAGAAAACTTTGGCAGAATTCTCTAAAAGGCATTTGGTCCTGGAGTTTTCTTTGTGGGAAGGGTTTAGGATTTCAGGCATGCGCCACCATGCCCAGAAGGTTCTATTTCTTAAAGAGTCAGCATAGGACATTAATTTGAGGCTTTTCTTCTTTTCTACTGTAGGTATGTAGTGCAATAAATTTTCCACCAATTTTTATTTGTTCTCATTTTCATTCAATTAAATGTATTTTCTAAATTGTCTTGATTTCTTCCTCAGCCTGTATGTACATATAATACAGAAGTAGAAAAGATCATATTTTTATAAAAATAAATTCTGGAATTGTTAAGAGACAGAAACGCTAGTATTTTCCAAATAATGAAATGACAAGCAATTTTGAAGATGAGATATAATTTAACACTTGATAATACAAAGAGAAAAAAATTCTAGCTAATGTTCTAGTTTCTTGCAGTGGTGGTGAACCTACAGCACACAAGCCACAGCGGCCTGTTTGTTATCACGGAAAGCTCTGGGGCCAGGGATTTAGCTCAGCAGCTCCACACCTGCCTTGCAAGCACAAGGTCCTGAGTTTGATCCCCAGTACTGAAAAAATAAAGCGCTAAAAGGTTCGCCGTCACTGTTATAGGGTAATACTCAAATAAAGGACCACCAAGTACAAGACTTCTGCTGACTGTTACTTACAAAGATGTAAAGCGGGTCATAGTCTGGGGACACAGCTAAGCTCTCAGGAGGCTTCATACTCAAGACTGAAGGCTTGCCAGAGAGTGGAGACGCTGAGTCCTGTTTTGGCAGCACTATGATGGTGGTAACTTCATCCTGTTACCGACCAAGAACCACCTGTTAATATTGGTGCCAGGACAAAAGGGGAAAGGCGAGAGCTATTCTGGAAGGCAGGGATGTGTTACCTCAGCTCCTTGCTTCAAGGGCCGTGCGAGCTTTTGAGGTTTGTAACTTGTTGAAGACTTGTGGACAGAGAATGGCTGGTAACCCTTAATTTTGTACAGCTGAGGAACCTAGAGGTAAAAGAAGACAACTGATGGAATGTCTTGAAAAACTCACTACCATTTGGTGGTGTCTACTTCTCAGCCACAGCTGCAGCCATTGGATTGTGGCAACTGTTAGTTTGGATTGTTGGACTGGACAGTGCTGGACACACTTGGAGCCATCCCTGAGCTCTGCTCTGGGCTCAGCACACATCAGTGTTCACGAATGCTTTCTCATGCCATATGGCTTAACTGCGGCAATACGTCAGACTACTTTCATTTTCAAGCACAGAAGTGATTATGTACCTCAAGAAAGGCTGACTACTTTGTGATCACTTTGTCTTGAATTTCCTAGCAGAGTCAAGGTACTTCACGTATGCACACTATATGGCACACCCACTGAAAAGAGATCCTGATTTCCATAGCCACGTTAGGGAAAGGGTCTGGGGTACTTCCAACATTTCTGTTTAATAACTGAAATATACCATATACCACTCAGTATAATCCATAATACAGTGAAGCCAATTAAATAGTGCAACTTAAATTCATTTCATAAGACACCCAAATAAATAATGCTGTGTGACAAGTCTGACCTGCAAATTGAAGAAGGAATAACTCTGTTTGATTTGAACATCCAAAGGCTTAATTGGGACCAGTCCAAGGCCACCAGGAGCCTAAAATGTGAAAATTAGAAAAAATGGACAGTCAATTCTGAGCAAAAGCAGCAACACTTCTACTGAATTTGAAACATGAAGTGAAGAGTTCTACTCTTAGAGAGCCCCTCCTCATGACCACAGATGCTGCTGGATCCACCCTGGATATCCCCACCAGAGCATGTGAATCTTCTTTTTGCCCTGTATGGTCATAGGTTGCAATGTGTCACCCAGAACCCCTTTCAGGCTGGAAGGACTCAATTCTCCAGCTGTTTGGAGTTCTGTTGATGGAAACATCTGTCGTGGTCAGCCCTCTTCAAGGAGCTGCGTCATCCAAGGCCACACACCCCACCCCACCAGCTGCCACCAGGGACAGGCTGAAGCTGAGGTGCTGAGGCCAAGTCCTCTCACAGTATGCCAGCTTCAGCGCTCTTCTCCGGCTCAGCTGAAGCCTTTGCCAAGACATATTGCGGGCCTGTTTCTCCGCGCAGTCCTGTTCCCTGTGCTGGCTTTCATGGTGCCGTCTTAGAGCCCTTGTGGCATTTCATCTGCCTCTGACACCCAGGGAATCTGGGACAGGGCCTGGCCCATGATGGGCACTCAATAAATATCAAATTTCACTGAGTCCAGGACATCGCCATTTGATTAATGGCACGCTATGTTAATAGCCATTATTTGTAAGGAAACTTCCCAGTTCAAAGACACTGAATGTAAAACAGAGTGCATCTTGGAATGGATAAAATACAGTATTTATGGAATAAATTAATACTCTTTTATACATAAATGCTGAGCATTCTACTTTTCATCTACCCCAGAACAGCAAAGAAATCTTTGTAGCACTATTTAAAAACCAAATGAAATGTGTAGGTTTTCACCTACTCAGAAATAATGACGTGGCTCCATGGCACGGATATGATTCATTTCACCACATTAATTATCGGGTATCAAATATTTATTATTGCATGAAGATCACAGATTCATTATTTCCTAGGAACCAAATATTTTAATCTTTTAAGTCTTTTAATTACCAAAAGCAGAAAACATTTGGAACTTCTAAATGCAGTCCAGTATTTCTTGTGTAGATGAACCAATAATGCTTCACAAAAATATTTTGGGATATTAATGGCAAGTTTATTCTTTGAAATTAAAAAGTTATTTTACACATGCACTCGCAATAATGATTTAAGCACACCCTTTAGTACTAACTTTGCAAACTTGAGCAACGTTTTGTGACTGGTTATGTGACTGCATGACCCAGCTTTCTCATATCTAAACGGATCAACCTATCACAAAGGTTTGCTGAAAATTAAAGGAGTCATGTATACATCGGAAGTACTTAAAACCTTATATAAAATGTAAGGGTCATAAAATTATTATTAACTATTACTTTTTGTTATACTGAATTTTGTTACAATGAGTGGCTGTGCCTGTAAGTCTCAGATGGCGGGGAGAAGAGAGAGACAGAGAGAGAGTAATGGGTTAACTGTTAGATCTGTCAGATCCTGGGGCTACATCCCTCCTTACTAGGTTGTCTCAGACCCTTCTTTTGGCCTCCCATCTGAGCAGATTCTACCTCTCTGGCCCTTTTGCCTCTCTGCCTGTCTGTTCTAAGGCCTTGTTCCGGACTGGGAGGGATCCAGGCCCAGATGGCAGGAAGCTCTGCACAGGTGTACTTGGTGCCCAGGGTGTTGGCCGGTAGCTGATCCCTGCTTTCTCACAGGTCACAGTTACCCAGCCTCGTGGGGAGGGAAAGCAGCCAAGGCAGGGCTTCTTTGGCTGCCTGCCCAGCAGCCCTGAGAGTGCTGGCCCCGCCCACAGTGGCATGGTACCCACCAGCTCGTTGGAGTCCTGGGGAGGATCATAGGATGGGAAGGCGAAGGGCAGCACTTCCTTGGCTGACACTGAGAAATGGTGAGAGCAGTCCTCCTGGCTGGTCCCTGACTGGAGGTTCTTGCAGAGATGCTTGTCTATGGGTGAGGAACACAATAACTCTTTCAGGAGGCTCTTACTGTGAAAGTACCATGCTTTGGTTACACATTTACCCCATGACATTTCAAAAAAAATAGTCCTGTTTATATACATACAAGTATACACATACATATATTTCATTTTTAGTTTCCTTATCCAGTTTTTAAAAAATATTTCATTTTGCTTCCAAAAACTATAATTCTTCAGAAAGTTTTACTGACAAGTGCTATGTATATTAATGGAGCTCAGTGTGGTATTTCCATATATGCATATAACACATGATTGAATCCAGCCCTTTTTTCTCCTCCCCAAATCCTTAGTAACCACACTATTTTACCTTCAGGTCTACTCAAAACTTTAATTTTAATTAAAACAGCTCTTAGAATGCAAAAAATAAAAAGGTCAAATTACAAAAATTTTATAGATATCCATGTATGATTTGTGGGTAAATTTCACTTTTCTTTGGTAAAAGAAACCCTTTAAAACCAGAAATAAAAATAATATAGAAGGAAATAAAAATAAATAAAATGCTACGAAGGCCTGGGATTTAGTTCAGTGGCACCGCACCTGCCTTGTAAGCGCAAGGTCCTGAGTTTGATCCCTGGTACCAAAAAAAAAAAAAAAAGCTATGAAATGTTGTGGGAAATAAAATATACACCTGGACCTAAGGGAGGCAGAGAGTGTAGTTGCTGCTCAGGGAGGATGTGGGTGGGGAGGATGGGGGTGGAGAGGATGAGGGGACCCACACAGCTCAGGGCTCAGGTCAGGTCAGGGAGGAGGTCTCAGGGGAGGAGGGACTGCTGTGACCTTGCATATGAGCCCTGGATTGGAAATGTGAGTACTGGGAGAAGATGGTGACATGCCTCTTGGGGCTCCCACTGAGAGTGGGCCTCCAACAGCCCCGGCCATCCTGGGCTTCAGTAGACTAAAATTTCCTTTTTTTTTGAGACAGGGTCTAACTATGTAGTTGAGACTCACTATGTAGTCCAGGCTGGTCTTGAACTCACAGGGATCCTCCTGCCTCAGCCTCCCGAGTGCTGGGATTACAGGCGTGCACCACCACGCCCGGCAAAATTTCTTTAAAAGGCACAGGCAGGAGATTTAAAAGCTTTGTGTGCAGGTGGAGAAAACACCAGATTCAGTCAAGTCCACCAGAAAATATAAACGATGAGTAGCCTCGTGTCTCTGTTGGCAAGAGGTGTAGGGGCCCCAAAGAAGAAGCCAAGCCATGGTCAAACTTTACAGTGTACAACTTGGTCTGGGTGTCTGTTGACCTTGTTTACTGTTAGCTGGGCAGATGTTTTGGCCAAACCTGGCCTGGAGATCTGATTTATGTCATACGACAGGTAAGGCAATGGCACCCAGAGATATCCATATCCTATTCCCCAGAACCTCTAAATATGTTAATTTATATGGTAAAAAGGACCTTGAAGGTGTGAGTGACTAAGGTAAGCACCTTGAGGTGGAGGATTATTCTGGGTTATCCGGGTGGGCCTGATGAAATCATAGGGTTTATATAAGAGGGAAATACGAGGCTAAATCAGAAAGGGTGATGGGATGATGGAAGGGGGACGAGAGTCAGGTCCCTGAGGAATGCAGGTGGCCTTTAGAAGCTGGGAAAGGAAAGGAAGCACATCCTTTCTGAGGCCTCCAGGAGGAAACAGCCTGCTGATACCATGATTTTAGACTTCTGAGCCCCAGAACTGTGACAAATACACCTGTGTTGTTTTAAGCCATTGAATTGATGACAGTTTGTTACAGTACTAACAGGAAATTAACACATGTGATTTATGGGAATATTTGATGTCTCCACGGTCAACTTCATTATAAAGAAACCTCATACTCTGAAGGATTCTGGGCTTCACTAAACTCCTCAGCTATACCTTACCTTGTACCAACGATTGCTTTACTGGATAGAGCTTGCTTAATAAGCTCTCTCTGTCTATTTTATGCATCGCAGCTAGTATTTTGAGTAACCGTCGATGAAGCATGATCTGGAATTGGAAAGAATAATGATTTCAAATGACTAATTGATACACATTCATTTGTATTCAACCTCATTCACTCTCCAGTCACAACGAACAGCTGAGACCATCACTCTAAGAAAGAATTTAAGAAATTAAGAGGCATGCTGCCCAAGTCCATGGCCATACGGACTTCATGGTCTAGGCAATGGGACCAGTCTGGACAACAATAACAACAAAAAATTTAAAAAAAAATCAGGATATCTTCTAACATTGACCCATGCAGTGTATGGGCCCTGCTTTTCTCTTATTTCAAGAGTGGAAAGGATGAGTAGTTCTACCTTCTTTCTTTTGCATGTAACCAAACAGTAATGCTTCCATTGTGCAGTTCTCTGACTTAGGGGACAAACTACACAGGCGATTCTATCCAGACAGAGTTGGGGCCCAAGCACTATGCTGATTCACCCCACTGAGATCTGCGTCCAGAGCCTTGCTATGCCCACAAACACTCCTGTGCACAGAGATGTGGTGGGAATGCTCCTCCCTTCCACAATTAGCACTCCTTTCTCTTCTCTACAGAACTCTTTCATCTAATGCATTAAGTGGCTACTTTGTGCCCAGCTCTGTGCAAGTCACAGGGGAGACAGTAAGGTGCAAAGAAATATCCTGTCCTGCGTGTGTGTGTGTGGGGGCTGACATTCTGAGTGTGTGTGTGGTAGACACAAAAGGGTGACCGTGAACCTTTACCTAAACAAACATGGTAAATACCACACAAACATCAAAGAGGGTAAATGCATGAGGGCAGGGCTGGGGGCTGGAAGTGGAGGGTCTGCCCACTCATGCAAGGATGAAGGAAGGCTTCTCTGAGCACACCTGATGACAGCTTTGAGTGACAAGGGGACATGACAATGGAAAGATCTCAGAAAAAGAGCTCTGAGCACAGGAACCCAGCAATAAAGACCCTGATGCAGGAACAAAGAAAAAAACATTCAAGGGACACAGAAGAATTCAGTGTGGCTTTGCAGTCATGACAAAAACTGAGCATTTTATTCTAACTGTGATGGTAAGCTTCTGAAAGGTCTTAGCCAGGGAAAGGTATGGTCATTTTTACACTTTGCAAATCCTTCTCTGACCACTGTGTGGGGGGATGTATATCTGTGAGCCAGGTGAGAGATGCTGCACTGTGGCTGTAGCTGGACAGATGGCAGGGAACTATTAAGCTGAGGACAGACTGACATATGGAATTGATCATACTGGCTGAGGTGTGAGAGACTGAGGCATTACTCGTAACAAAGCACAGAACTTTGGGTAACGCTGTTTTCAGGTCAGAGGGCTTTCTGAAGGACTAAAGTAGTCCCACCAGGGCACAGGCTCTTGCTGGTATAGCTGTGCCTTCTCCTTCAGAGCAAGCTTTGTGCCACCTCTTTCTGCCCTCCCCAAGCATCCTGTGGCTGCCCCTACTCTGCACATACCCTGCAGACAGGGAGCTCAGCAGCACTAGTTCTACACGGATTTGGAGGCTGGTGGGAAGGTTACTGACAATGACATTGGCACCTGCATGCTGAGAAAGCTGCCTGAAAGACAATTTGCAACCCACACCATTGGAATCCCTTATATACACTCACTCATTTAATCTTCACAGCAACCCTATAATGGTCTAAGACAGGTCTAAGCCTTTTTTTAGAGTTCAGATGGGAAAACCAAGGTACAGAGGTTATGTCACTTGCCAAAGAACAGAAAGCTCCTAAGAAGTAGCATCAAGAATTAATTGTACAGATAATCAGCCCCCAGAGCTCAGGTGTCATAGTTTGAGTCTGGAATGTCCCTGAAAGGCCCATATGCTGGCAGCTTGGGTGTCAGTCTGTGGGGCTACTGGGAGGTGTTGGAACCATGAGTAGGTGGGGCCTAGTGGGAGGAAGTGAGGTCATTAGGGCATGGCCTTGAATGGGGATATTAGAACCTCACCCCTTCTCATCTCTCTGTTTCCCAGCCACAACCAGATGAGCAACTTGCTACACCGCACACTCCTCACTATGATGTTCTTCCTCACCCTAAGCCCAGAATAGCAAAGCAAACCAACTATGGACTGAAATCTCTGAATCTGTAAGCCAAAGCAAACCTTTTCTCCTTATTAGTTGACTATCTCAGGTATCTTGTCACAGCAACAGAAGAATGATTAACACACTGGATCTTAACCACCGCTCTCCCTTACTTGAGGTGTGGCCCTGCTCCCTAGGGAAGTCACACTTGAGGGATGAGAAACCTACATTTGAATTAGATGCTAAAGGCCTCAAAAAGATCCTGCTTGCAAAGATTGGAGAAAAGGTGGACTTGAGCTGGCCTAGGAAATAGGCATGGGCCCACAGAGTAGAGACAGAGAGGCATTTTAGTTGAAGGGCGAGGAATAAAAGCACAAGTTCCTAGTAGGAAACAAGCATGGTGTGTCTGGAAGAAGGTGAGGATGGGGACAACATGAAGGATGATGGGCAGCTGGGAGGTGTGGTGACAGCCAGAGGGCCCCCTTCCGCCTTGCACTGGTGCTAGTGACTCAGAAGCCTTCACTCTATCCTGGCCTCAGGAAGCCTCAGAGATGTGCTCTGCGGGAGACTCCTGGGAGGTGAAACCATGGCAGAGGCATGACCTCTTCGAAGGGGAAGCTGTATGTAAGCCTCATGTCAGTGATAAGATCCCCCTGGAATTCTCAGTTGTTCCCTCTGCAAACAACTGACTCAGATCTCATGTTCTGGGGTTAGCATACACTGCGGCACTTTTACTCCTAGGTATGTGTACCCACGAGAATTAAAAACATGTTATCACTAACTTGTACACGAATGTTCACAGCAGCACGGCTGATCATAGAATGAAGCTGAAAACAATTGAGATGTCAATGGATGAACAGATAAATAAAATGCAGTTTGTCCAAAGAATAAAATATTGTGACAATAAAAAGAATGAACTATCGACACACACTGCAACACCAATGAACTTGAAAGTGTGTTAAGTAAAAGAAGCCAGTTAGCAAAGGCACATATTTTGTAATTCTATTTATTTGAAAGGTTTCTAAAAGGCCAATCCACAGGGATGGAAGTAGATTAGTGGTTGTCAAGGGCTGGGGAAGGAGGGACTAAGGAGTGACTACTAATGGGTCCCAAGTTCCTTTTTGAGGTGATAAAAACAGTGACAATGGCTGCCGAACTCTGGGAATAAACTAAAACCTACTGAATTGGGCACTTTACAGAGGTGATTTTTATGGTAGGTAAATTGTATCTTCATAAAGATGTTATTTAAAAAAATTCAGCATCTGATTTCCTTGTGCAGAATGACTAAGCAAAAATTCCACTGACTCTCTGGAAATCACTTCTGAGATGCTTACCTGGCTGGAACTTACCTTGCGTGCTGCTTGTTGAAACCGTCTTTGTGCCCTGAACCTGTCGATCCAATTATTATTGACAAGTGGATCAAAATTAGGCTGCAAATGTATGCTATTCTGTAAATATAAAACAGAGGCACATTTTAAATTTAAATTTAACTCCTGGGGTAAGCATTTAATAAAGATGTTTTATAGTTTGGTCCCAAATCAAGTTATTATAATATGTTTTGCCACTTAGTGAGTATTTACTAAAGCACTTTTAGGGTTATTTTATTATGAGGAATGTTTCTGAGGCCAGGGGCCAAGAGCAGAAGATACAATTTGACTTTTTGGAAACTTACAGTCCACTCAGGGAAGCTCTGACCCCGGGAAGAAGAATAAAGTTATACAGAGATCAGTCCCTCGGGCAGGGGTCAGCGCAGCCTCTGGAGTCGAGGGGAGTGGACTGAGATCCCGCAGGGAAGGAGGCTGCTCTGCTCAGCCCCATGTACCCAGGGCCAGCACTGCCTGCATGTGGGCGTCCAGTGTGCACACGAGTATGGATTGGGCCAGGGTAGAATGAGGCCATCGGAGCCTCAGGGTCTACAGGTTCTAGAGCAGGGAAACAGCAAGAGACCAAGCCAGAGCAAATAGAGGTGCAGACAGAAAAAGCCCAAGTGTGTGATGCTGCCAATTTCAAGGGAAACATTGATTATGAGTTTTGGTGCTTCACTTGAGAAAGCAGAGTAAAAAACAACAATAACAACAACAATGCACTCTGAAGACATAAACACAATTAGACATCTCTTGGGCAAGGAACATCTATAACATTGCTTAACATTTTAAAAAATGAGCATTTAAAGAACAGTCAACAATTAGATTCCAAACAAAGAAAAGCCACCCACCTCTTCTAAACTGCGAACAACCCGTTTATGGTTAACTTCGGTCTTGAGTCGCTGAAATTCCTCTTCCGGTACAGGGTCTCCTCTCTGTAGCTGGGTTTTTAATCACCAAAAAAAATATTAATGTTGAAGAAAAATATATAAAACTTTATTTTGGTTTAAAATGGTAGAAACCCATTGAACAATTGGGCAAACACACTCATGGGGCCCTGAATAAGAGTGGTAAAGACACAAGGTGGTCATTTACTGTTAATAATCACATTTACTGTTAAGAGACAGAGGGAATTTTTATAGAAGCAAGGACTCAAGACCTTTTTTTGTTTTGTTTAAAAAATATATAACCAGAGGGCATTATTGCTGGAAATCATTTCCAAGGCACTTAAAATTCACAGGAAGGATTTTAGGAAGTTACATAACTACGGAGCATGCACATTATAGATTTTACTGAGAACAACTATAATGTCCCAGGGAATTTTTAAGCTCTTCAGAGTTGTCCAAATGTCACTTTTCTAACAAAGGCATGTGATGATTCCTCCCCTTTCCTTGGTAGTAGCAGTCAGTGGGTCTTTCTGGGCTAGAGTGTGATGACAGCCTTCCCTGAAATGAGTCCCAGGTAGCTTCCTCCATAACCCCCAGGTCTGCTGGGCTGATGGCCCCTGGGCTCTCTTTCCTTCTCCTAGGAGCCAAAGGTGACTCCAGAGATGGGCTAGCTGAGCCGGACCAGAGTCTCTATATACCAGCCCTATGAGAAAGGGGACAGTGCACACTGCAGATTGAATTGGTTTTTGACTAATACTGTGGAGTCTATTCTTTATTTGCTGGGTAATTTTGAAAACTGGCATGGCTCCTGGGTATCCTGTTCACAGTCATTTTAAAAGACTTAATTAGAAGAAACTGATTCTGATTATATTAACATCCGATTCCGAAATAAGATAGGAGAACTATTGTAAGGGCGGTGAGCTGTCTGGCTTGGAGTCATATGTATCAGGAAGCTCAGTTTGAGAATTCAAGTTCATAGTTCATATCTCCTGGGGGAAAAGATCCAGACCCCTTCACCCAGCACCATCAAGAGGAAAATAAAACCAGCACCTTAAAGAAAGGTTTGCCAAATGATTGTTGCCTAGAATAAAGAAAAGGAATATTTATCATATCGTCATAGAGACCCTGCTCATTTATGATGACTCTTTCAGAATTTAACTTTATCCACTGTCTTCCCTGAGTATAAGCTCATCCAACATCTTGAAGGTCTGTGCCATCCAGCTGTGATAGTGACTTTTTGTCCAAGGCCTCTTTTTCTCAGTTATATGCCATACACTTCAGGTCTCCACATATACCTGTCACTGGTCACCTGCCAGGGCCCACCTGCTAGACGAGATCCTCTGAACACACAGCAGAAGCACCCAGCACACTTGGTCTCCCAGGCTCCAGGGCGCCCCGGGTCTGCCTGTTCACCCTGTGTCCTGCTGAGTGATGCTAAGGACCTGACCACTCCTTTCCTGCACGCACTGGCTCACAGTGACCTGGTTGTGGCATGTCTGTATCATTTTCTTTTTATTAAAGAGTCAAAAAATAGCATTGCATGGTGGGGTTGACAGAAAGCACTTGATATTTTGTTTTAAAAGTAGTCTGCAAGTTATCTGATCACGTGGAGCTACATTTAAATTTCAACCTAATACTTGTCTTTCCTAAATGTGAAGATTTATCAATGTAGCAATGATATATTCTTCTGTTTGTTTTATGAAAAACAAACAAAAATATAATAAATGTACCTAACATCTGGTTTGGGCTCTAAGTGGAAGAAGAAAAATGAGCTATCTAAGTAGACACATTTTCCCTAATCTCACCTAGTCATGGTATCAGGTTAGTCTCTCTGAAACTCACACTGCTAAGCATCAGGGTCTGTTAGAGGGTGAATTATATCCCCCATAACTCGTACATTAGTGCACTAATTGCTAGGACCTTGGCATGAGACTGTATTTGGCGGTAGGCTCTTTAAAGAGGGGGCCGGGTTAAAATGAGGTCCTATGACCGCTGTCCATGGAAGAAGAGGTGCTTAGGACACAGACACGTGGAGATGATGACCATGTGTGAGCCAACACACAGGATTCAGAAGAAACCCACCCTGCTGACACTTGAACCCTAAAGCAGCCTTCTGTTGTCTAAGCACCTAGTCTGTGGGACATTTTTACTACAGCCTGAGCAGGCTAAGACCATCTGTGATGACTCTGGGAGTCCTATCCATTAAGCCCAATCCCCTCATACATGATTTCCTGTGCTTTACCTCTTACGGACTTGTCTCCAGTGTTCTTTGCACCTGCTCTGCTGTGCCAACTGTCTCCACACTGTGACCCATGGTAAGGTCACAGGTATTGTGCAGTCCCACATCTGTCCCCGAGCTCAGACACAGTCCTGGTGTCCCTGATGTGACCCTACTCCCCTCAGCCCCACTGCCCCTCTCTGATCAGCACCTTTGAGTGCTTCTGGCTTGGGAATGGCTCTTGTGTGGCTTCCAGGCACTATCTCTGGGCCTCCCTGGTCTCTGTGATCTGCAGAACATGGGACAGAGGTGCCTTACAACCAGAGCTATGGCCAAAATCTGAGCCATTCTCTCCATGTGCATGACTTTGTCCCTTACTAATTTTCAAAATTGTACCATGTCTTCCAAGAAGCTTTCCAATTAGATGAGTTCCCTCTTCTCTCTGGCTTCTGAATCCCCCACAATGCACAGTGTACTTGTAACCCTCTTTGTTTATAGCTAACAATTTACTTGTCAGCAGCCTCCTTCCCTCCCAGTGTAACTATATGTTTTCTTTCTCCTGATTTGGCATCTTGCATACAAAAGGAATTCAAAATATTTAGTGAAACAAATGATATCAAATTAGCAGTCATTCTGACCTTGTAGTTGGTGTATATTCTTTGCTGCTCCTCAGTAAGCTCCTTTCTCAATTTAAAAGACATATGATCTTTACCGAGGTGCACCTGCCTGGGCAGAAAAAAAATTTAACTTCCAGAACCCATCAGAAAACATAGTTAGTTTAAGGATGGAATATATTTGCTACTTTCTGCAACAAAAATGGGAAGCACTTTGGAGCAGAAAAGTTGTAGAGGTCCCAGAAACATCACTAAGATGATTAATAGGTCCAACAAAATGAAGCTCACCATCTATAACACATGATAAAATATTTATGAATAAAAATCTGGATCCTCAACATCAGTAGTCGGTAAGAGAGTGCAAATCAGAGTCACAAGATACACTGCCACATACCCACTGGCTATGATAATACTTTTAAAATAATGGAAAATGGAAGGGTAGGGGAAAGGAAATAAAGGAAAAGAAAAAATATGAGAAAAAATAAAATAGAAACACGTCATTTAATTTCACAATACATCACACAGATATCAGTTCATAGTATTTTATAACTTCAGATGAGAAAGCAGAAAAATCAGCAAATAGAGTATATGTTACTGTCTCATAAACAAATTCAGTCTAATCCAGGCAGTGAGGCTTTCTTGACCAGTTGCAATCTTAGTGACATAATTTGCATCAAATTTTACTGGATTATTTTGGTTATAGTTTGCCTTCAACATTGAAAGCATGCAGTGCATTAGTGAACCTTGTCCTAGACACATTTAATATCAGCATATTTATATATCCCATACCCTCAACTTTGGGCTACTGAAAGCTAGAATTTATTTGTTTTATTCTTAAAGTACTTTTCTAGGCCATGAAGATCAGCATCTGTATGGCATTGAGTTGGAAATGGTGAGTGGTACTAAGTAGAGGGAATTAATGGAATGAAATATCCATTGGTTAATAGGCCAAGAGCAAATGTGTAAGGAAAGCCACACATATAGAGAGATATACTACCCGCAAAAATATTGTGCTAAAAGGATTATTTAATGTGTCACAAAATAGAAAATATTTAATGATTAACACAATCCACGCAGGACATGCTTATGAGCACTATTGGAGTTAAGAAACTATACAATTCTATTGTTTTATTCAAATAAAACTTGACTGATAAAATAATGGAAAACAACAGGTATTGATGAGAAAATAGAATCCTCATATGCTGCCAGTAAGAATGTGAAATGGGGCGGTAACTATGGAAACCAGTTTGGCGGCTCCTCAAAACACAGCCATGGATGCAGAAGCTGTATTCCAAGGGACATGAAGAACATGTTCACACAAAAACTCGAAGTAACTGTTTGTAGTAGCATCACTCACAAAAGTGGGAACCATGGAAATGTCCATTAACGGATTCATGCAATAAATTGAAACGCGGAATTCCATACAAAAGATTATTCAGTCAGGAATAGAGATGAAGTAGTGATACAGGGTATGCTATGGGTGGACACTGAAAATTTGCTATGTGACAGAAACCAGCCACAAAAGACCACAAAGTATACGATTCCAGTTACAGAAAACATCCAGGAAAGGTGCTCTATGGAAAAAAAAAAAATAAACGAGTGGTAGCCAGGAGCTCTAGAGATTAAGGGATGGAGCGTGACTGTTAATGGGTCAAGTGTTTCTTTGTGAAGTGATGAGAATGTTCTGGAACGAGGTAGTGATGAAGGTTGCACAACATTGAGAATACACCAAAACATCTGCACTATCCACTTTACAATGCCCAAAATGGTGAACTTTAAATTATGTGATTATTATCACAACTTTTAAAACTAGTAAGTAATATAAGTACATGTCCAAAATAAATCACAGCTATGATTTTAAAACTGGAGTGTGTGTGTTTGGAGAACTGTTTTAGATTAAAGAAAATTAGAGATGTGAAAACCAAACAAAGTGTATGGTCACTGATGAGACCCTGGATTCCCCCTCTCCAAGACCAAACCAACCAAGCCGGGTATAGTGGCTCATGCCTGTAATCCCAGCACTCAGGAGGATGAGGCAGGAGGATTTCTGTGAGTTCGAGACCAGCCTGGGCTACATAGTGAGTTCCAGGTCAGTCTCAACTACACAGTGAGACCCTGTCTCAAAAAACCAACCAAACCAAATCAAACAAAACAAAACCAACCAAACAAATAAACAAAAACAAAAAATCAGATATAAAGGTCATTATTGGGACAGCTGGGGAAACTTGCCTAAACAAGGATTATTGGGTAACATTCTATCAGTGTTAGGCTTTTTAGCAAGGATTACATCAATGTCAGATAAACTTTGTTCATGGGAGTTACACGCTAAAGTATTTGGAATGAAACCTCCTAATACTGTAACTGAACTTCAAATGGCTCAAAAGACAAAAGCACGCTGTGTGTGTGTGTGTGTGTGTAAGCATGTTCACGTGGGTGCAGACTAAAGGGATGCAGATGTGGCAAAATGTCTATAATTCTTGAACCAACATCAAGTAGATATTAGTCTTACTTGCAGGTTTAAAGTCTTTCAACATAAAAAGCTGAGAAATAATATTAGTGGGCAACATTGCATTCAGAATGGAATTAGGATGTGATTTCAAGCATGTTACAAAGAAGCATAGAAGAATGGAAAGACATTGGTGGTCACTGCTGAATGGTGGCATTGCAGTGATTTTTTTTTCTTCCTCTAATGTTTTAAAAAGATATACTGTCGTATTTCCTACAATGACAATATGTCCATTTTTCATAATAGGGAAATACTTTTTTTTTTCTTTTTATTGAGATTATTGGTACAATCTAGGTATACAATACAATTACATTCATCATTGGGATTCTGTACCTTTACATAATAGGTCTTGATTCTCATTTTTCCCCTTGTCCCTGCCCTCCCTTCATCCCCTCCTCCCCTCCCTATTTACAAACACTTTATTTCCATTTTTTCAGTTTCTCATATTTTTTTCCTCTCCCTTATTACCTTTCCCCCACCCTTCCCACTTTCCCTACACCTTTAGCCCTTTACTTCCTATTTCACATTATTAATTATCTCATTAGGATCCTGTGTACTATTGTAGTTTTTCACACCAAAGAAACTATTCGGTATTTCAGTTAAAGAAATCTCTGTATGAACATTAAAAATAGGGAATCCTAAAATAAAACTAAGAAGGAAAGTAAAAGAGAAAAGGCAATGATGTAACATCAAAATAATCCTTAATTCTGGAGATGAAAATGGTCCCTGAACATATTTAAATTGCTTCTCGCTCTTATAGTCTTATCTTATTCTTTTTTTCATTATTTAGAGAATACTTTATTAGTTTCTGTAATCAAACCCACGTAGATATGACCTTACATATTTAGTACGTACCCCTGTACACATGGAAAAAGATAAAAATAAAAATAAAAATAAATTAACATTTCTAGACCAATATGGTTGTCCATTTCTGTACAATGCCAAGTCAACACAGTAAATTGGGATGACTTTTTCCAAAGTTGGCAGCACCGTTAAAGTTTCCCAAAATTCAATTTATATATATATATATGTGTGTGTCTGTATACATATATATAAATATATATATATACATAAAGACTAATAATAGTATGTTATGCATCAATAGCAGCAACAGCTTTTCCAGGTTCTGTAGTCATCTGAACAAAATTACAGACATTCAGCAAATTCCATTAAAAAAAAAAAA